ATAATCTTCTTGCTTAATCGTCAATAAACTCTGAAAGAAATGTCTATGCTCTGTCCAACACTTTTATTTATGGGATCATTACTAGATTGGTCCTGAGACACTTCAAAGTTTTAATAGCAGCAATTACGTGGTGCATTTGTATAGCACTCTGTAATTTTTATAGAAATTTCAGAAAAGGAAAATATCAGTTAGATCTAAAGCTTCCAATCTACAAGAATGACTTGACTTTCCACCTTATTGCTGTTGGCTGATAAATGTCTCCTTGCTCTTTTGACATCATGCTAAAATGGCATATCCTTGTGAAACATTTAGTAATTATTCTTCTCACATGGAAAGAAACAGACAGGGTAAATGTCATTTTGTGTTAACTCAAAAGACCTTTTAGAAGACATGTTCAAAAGATTTTAGGAGACCTTAAAGCAACAGTGTTGGTATTTCCAGGTCAAATATGTTTACTTTAATAACTCAGATTAAAGACATTGTTTACTTCTAAGTTTCTGTTGAGATTTTTTTTAGGTTGATTGTATGTGCAAACTACATTGCATTATAGGCTTTTCTTCTTGTGGAAAATTTTTGAAAACACAGAAATAAAGTGAAAAAATATAACAGTCATGATTTCACCACTCAGTATTGATATTTATAACATTTTTGTCATAAAAAGATAATGTTGAAGTTCTCTTTGGAATCCACTGACTTTCCAAAATGTGTTTGTGGAAGTGGAATTGTAGAAATGGGATCTTCTCATGGTATCAGTCTATTTTTCTGAAGTACAATGCCTGTTGTGATAAGAGCTGAAATGTACCAGTCAAACTCCAATACAGTCTGTCTCCTCCAGCATACTGCCCACATGCTGTTGGCAGTTTACTCTCACCATGTCTACCAGAAAAATTAATACTCCAATATAATCAAATGGTGTAAATAACCCCTAATGATTACTATTGGGTTCTTCATCCACAATGATTTCATTTCTGAACTTGTAAAAAAATGTATTACTTTGGAGAGGTTTGCCACTGCTAAAAATTCTATGGACTATGTTCTCGTATAATGAGAAAAACATACATGATTCCTATCCTATAATGCCAGTGAAGCAATATAGAGGCCATAAATACAATTTCCCCTCTAAGAAAACACTCAGCAACTCCTTTTTAAAAAGGGAGTGGGCTTATTTCTAAATTACTTTAAAGAATGAGTGTTTAAATGTTAACCTGGCTGCTAGCTCTCTCAGGGAAAGAAATAGGAAGATGAAACAGAGGAACATTCCTAGAAATGAGTGTGTGACCTATGTGGTCTTTACAGTAAATTATACTAACTCTACATTTATGTTTATGTGTTGTGGCCCTATTAAGCTGATATAACTTTTCCATTAAGTGGGCAGGTGGATTTCCTGTAGTACCCCCAAGTGCCTGAAGAGGTATATTGTTTTCTTGTTTCCATTACAGCATAGAGACTAAGAGGGAATCCTCTGTGGTATTTTCACATAGGTTGTGAATCTTTCATCTGTAGGTTGTATTTGTATCCAAAAGGTGAATATTAGTAGCCTCTTGGTGGCAGAGTGACTTTCTTAAAAAAAAGGGGTTTCCCTGTGCATGGGGGGATTAACATTTCAAAATATATGTTTCTACTTCGACCACTTACTTACTGTTTGATTCAAAGGCTGTCATAAAAACAACCTCTCCACGTCTTTATTAGAACTTGTAGTACTCTTACCTAGACCTGAGAGGAACTTTCAGTATAGAACATGGTGAGTAACGTATTCTCCTGCCTTTACTTTCATTTCGCTTACTTACCAGAGTTTGCCGTAACTTAATGTCTTTTTAAAATGTGTAGAGTTTTCATATTAAAATGGCATGTGTGATTGGTTTTTGGATTTGGTAATATTAGCAATTAAGATCTGGTTTTGTGTATTTCAGGTGGGAAATGAGATAGAATGTATAAAATGTAATAATGTGTGATGTTCTCCTTTAAAATTTTCATGGCTTTCACCAGTTAGCCCCTTTGTCCATGTCAGAGAAGAGATTTTGAAATGACACATTTAACTATGTGATGTTATCCTATTTACTGTTTCTAACAATTCTGTAAATAATAACCAAATCGAAGCACTCATTTGAATAATTTTACTATGATTGTCCTCTTAGGCAATACTGCAGGGTTCAACAATCTTGATTAAGCAATGAGCCGTGCAAGGATCCAGGCAATGTGTGTCGCTGTAGTGGATAGCTTTCATTGTATTCTTCATGGTATTATAGAATCATGTTGATGGGAAGCATAAAAAGTTCTAAAAGAATGTATTTCTAAATGTAAAGTCACTGGGTTGATTTATTTAAATTGTCAAATCTTCCAAAGGAGATTGGAAAATAAACTTCCCTAGGTGCAATTTAACTATAAGCAATCAGATTGACATCCAAGGAAGGTTCATTTTAAAAGCCAGCAGTGGACAAAGGGAGACGAGATGGCTGTGAGCACAGTGATGATTTTTTTCATTAATGTAGCAACATTAAGCTTCTGGCTTAGCCACAAAATTTTCTATTGTGAAATACTACGGGGCTTCGTTATTCTTGGGAATCTCAGGCAATGCCCTGTTGCAGAAACTCTGAAAGCCCTTTTTTAAATGGCAAAGCATCCAAGGACCTGCTCCCACAGCACAAGGCCTTAACACGATGGGTGACAAGCAAGTATCTGTAGAATGGGTCAATGTTAACATAGACAATTTTCAGAAATGTTCTCCTCAAATTTTTGAGGCTAATTTTTTTTAAATCGGAATTGTAATATATTTTTAAAACCCAGAAAATAACGGGAAACAAATCCTCTCATTTTCTCCTTTCCTTTTCACTCTGTATCTTTGTCTCTCTCTGTCTCTTTCCTGTCTTTCTGTCTCTCTCTCCCTCTCTCTGTCTCCCTCTCCCCTGGCTCCCCTCGCTCACCACTAAGTCTACATTTTAATTAGTACATCATTGGCTTCCAGTATAATTATTCCATTGAAATTTGCAGTCACTGTACAATTTCCCAGTTTTAATGAGATAAATGAGGCATGAATGAGGAAGCAATAATCATTCTTAAACATGGGAAATGTAGTATTAAACTCAATTCCTCCAGTTAAAGGAACCTGAGACACAGGTGTGAGAGGGGCCTGTGGAACAACAGAAGAGACAGGCACCATCCTATATGCTTCATCAATCAAGGTCCCTTACTCCTTGACCATCTTCTTCCACTGGGGTTAAGCATCTTTACCTAGATAGTGAGGGGGTAGGGGGAGGAGGGAATGAAGATGCTTACTAAGTTCTTTGTCAACCGAATACTTCCTGCAGAGAATAAAACCTTAGGCCTTGTTTTAACTGTTAACTTTAAAAAATTGCTCTCTAATGTTTTATGTTTAAGTGCTTTAGCTATCAATCTGTAAACTTCACTTCCTCATTAAGATTAGATAATGAAGAGGTCTTAGAGGAAAACCTGTTAGTCCCAGTTGTTCTCCCATCTGTTTGGAGTTGTGACAGTTTAGATATTTCAAACATTGTTTTCATGAAGGAAGAAGGATTTAAAATAAAAGAAACATATTTTACACACATATGTCCTCAAGTCTTTAAGAAAGATGAGAGAATTTTTAAAATGTCTTTCTACTGAAATTGCACAGAGCATGAGTAAACAATCAGTTTTATTTGAAAACACTGCCAAGATGAAATCTCCCCAAGGTTTTAAAATAAAAACAACATATGGGTGAAAATTATTCTAGTGGCTGCAAATCACAGTCCCAACAAATGGATCCCTTGATTGATCGAAGAATGTAAAAAACTGTGGATGACAGAGAAAGAGTCACAGTGGGGCAGTTAGTACACAGTTAATAGATTATTATGGTAAGTAATCAAAGTTAATTATTCTATACTTCTGCTAATCTGACACACAAATTCTGAGAGAAGAAATATATTAAGTGGCGTAATTCATAAAATACATTCAAAAGTAAATTACTCCCTTCACAGTTTTAAAATACATCTTAACTTACAAAGATGGTGAAATGTTTCCTTTTGATGTGAATAAATATTGATAGATAATGTCCAGATGACAGATTGCATGCTTACGAGGTATATCAGTACATTCTTCAGTAGGTTGCCATATTCACCTTTTTTCCTTCAGTTTTGAAGAATATGTTATCACTTTTCACAAACTCTTTACTAGGAGAAGCTGTTCAAAAGTGTTCTGGGAAGAAAGCTTACATTTTTTTCAACTACAAAAGGCAAAACAACTGTAGATATTAAAATAAGCAAAAAACTGTTCAGCCTGAACAATAGGAAAATGTGCTTCCTCTTTGAATTTTTCTTGTAGAGAGGAACATAAAACATTGGAACAGTATCGAAACAATCAAATTTGATTTATAGTTGAAAAAAGTGAGTAGGAAGATTCTCAACCTTAAAGTGTTTTATGTAGACAAATTTAATCCTCCCTAAATGTGCGTCAAAAAATAAGATAAATTTCTAATTAGAGATTATTCTGTTGCTTTTTTAAAAATAAGAAAAAATATCAAAAAATAAAACCATTAACATTAGATAAGACTAAAGCAGAGACTATGTAATTAGTCTGAAAGGGTCTTGAATTTCACATGTAAAAACAAAAGGATGGATTCTGTATCTGAAATCCAGTGTCCAGAGGTCAGGTCTCATCTCAACTTTTCCTTACCAACAGAAAGCATTTATTAAAATCTCAGGACTGAGCTCATTAACTATTCATTTTTATTATACTAAACAGTCATTTATTTTCATTTGAGTTGTATTGAGATAGCATAGTTCTTTATATATATATATATGTATATATGTTTGTTAATCTGGTGATAATCACCTGGATGTTAAAATTCCAAGGTAATTTCTATGTAGTCACAGATATTTAGATTTATCACAATTCCTTGATGTTAATAATAATAATCTTATATTATTATAATAATAACATGGTAAGTAATGTTAAGTACTTATAATAATAATAACATATTATCATTTTGAAAGTACAAAGACTCGGACATGGCTTCTATTGCTAAAAATTTGGTGCAGGTCAGAATGCACTCATCTGAAATATATTCCCATAAAACAACACCTCCTTAATCTCCCAGTTTCATGACTATCAACAAAACAATCAACATCCATAAATAATAGCATACATAAAATATTCATGTCCCATAAAAATCATTTTCTCTACAGGTTTTCCAATGAGTTTTGAATGTTAAACAGTATTTAAATTCTACAATATTTATTTAGAACTTACTATTCACCAGACAACTCCGGGCAAATCTCCTTGTAGTGGAGGCAAACTGGCAGTGCTTTCAAATGTAACCTCTCGTTTAATCTTTATGTTTTTCCCTTTGAAGATAGGAAGTATTATTGTTACTTCACAGATGAGGATATTGGGGCTTTGAGAGTTTAACTAATTTGCCAAAAGTCACTAAGCTTGTTGAGTATAAGAGATAGATTGGGACTCACATCTTTTGATAATCCATCTTAATCCAATCATTCTTTGTAATATGCATGTTAAGAAAGGTGAATTTCTAAGTTGGGGGACCTCAGGGGAGTCCTTCAATAGAAATCCACAGAAAGAGACTAATTCCCCAGATAGAGCTTGATGAAGGCCCAGAGCAAGCACATGTTTGTCTTGTGGCAAAATGAAAGGCCATGCTATGGACAACAGGACCCTCTGTATGAGGTAAGAATTGGCCATTGGTCATATTTCAGTAAGCCTCTAAGACATTGTGTCACAAGAGATATTGTAATATATATAATGCTAGGATGACCAATTTCATAGCACCTAAGTGTTGGAAAAGTTCTTAGCCATTATAATGTCCAATCTCTTCAAATCTGTGAGATGTTGATAAACAACTTATCCGGGGATGAGCAAGTTTAGTGACAGCCCTGGTAACAGAATCTTGGTCTCTTGACTCCTGATTCAGGAACTTTTCCAATTTCAGTCCCCAAATGTTAGTTTTTCATAAAGTAGTGCAGGTGCCCTGAAGTACTTGAACAATAGGGTACCTATGGTGGTAAAGAATTTTACTCTATTGCTATAAAACTAAAAGACTTCTTAGAAGGAAATAGATGATGAAAGTCCCCTAATTGGGCAACTTTCTCAGAAATATGAAATGGAAGAAAAAAAAAACACAGCTCTTCTTTTAGGTATCTCTTTCTTTTGGTTTAGCCAAACAATGTGTAGCCAAAAATCTCTTTCCTATTCTCGATCTCCCTTGAGCCATTACTGTAAATGAGAGTGATGTGTAATTTTCCTCTCTTCCAATTTCTTCCACAACTGTAATCAAAGGGCCTTAAGTACCTGTTTAGATATAGGGATCTTTTTTTTTGCCAGAGAAAATAAATGAATGAAAACCTAGAACAAATGCTTATTTTTCTTTTTCTTTTTTTTGTTTTTTTTTTGTTTTTGGTTTTTGCAGTACGCGGGCCTCTCACTGTTGTGGCCTCTCCCGTTGCGGAGCACCGGACGCGCAGGCCCTGCGGCCAAGGCCCGCGGGCCCAGCCGCTTCGTGGCATGTGGGATCTTCCCGGACCGCGGCACGAACCCGTGTCCCCTGCACTGGCAGGCGGACTCTCAACCACTGCGCCACCAGGGAAGCCCGCTTATTTTTCTTGAATGGCATTATCGTATTCTTAAAAAACCCTGTGCATTTGCCTTATTTATCATAGAAATTATCTGAAATATTTCCGTGGAATTTAACCCTGTTTCTAGGCTAAGTGAATTCCTTTTTCTTTTTTAATTTTTTTGACTATAAAATTATTTTGATAGGGAGCTCTGGGGATAAAACTTCTTGAACATACAAACAGGTTTAAAGAGTGATTTAGACTAAACTAAGGTATTATTAGGAAAGCTTATTCAAGATTTTGTATTAAAAATGTTAAAGTTCCATGTACAACTTACTGCTGGCATAAGTAACATCCTTCAATTCATTCATTCAACGTGTGTGGCACATTTAGCATATTACAGGCACTGCACCAGGTACCGGGGATTCAGTTGTGAGCAAAAAAGATGTAAAAATCACAGAATTTACAGTCTGGTGGAGAAGAATGGCCTTAAGCAAATACACACCAAAATAGTGAAATTACAATTATGATAAATACAACAAAGGGGAGATGCATACAGTTGTAAGAATGGATATTAAAGGAATTTGTACAAGATAAGTCAGGAAAGATTTACTTTGAGGGGAAGAGCAATCTAAGGAGGAGCGGCTTCAAAGGTTAGAGCAGAAGGGAGCGTGGTACCTTCAGGGAACTGACAAAAAGGCTAATGGGTGATAAGAAAAGTGGTTGAAAGGTGCTTGTGGGTCAATGGCGGAGAGAGGGGAGCATTTTCAGTTACCGTAATGACTGGAGGCCGTTGATGTCAATATCAGAAGAGTTGCCACACAGCAAAGAACCATCACTTCCTACATCCAATAGTGACTGGTTTGAGACAAGCAGAGCCCTTTAGTTACGATAAGGACTTTGGTCACTGTAATGGAAAACCATGAAGGTGGTTTCTTTGGGGGGTGGATAGAGGGGAGATGACAAGATCAAATATGTGTTTTGAAAAGAACACTATGTCTACCATAGGAAGAGCCAACTGAAGGGAGCCAACACCAGGAAGAGGCAGGCCAGTTAGGATGCTACTTTAGTGGTCCAAGTAAAAAGCAATGGTATTGTCAGTGGTTTGCAAGCATTGCAAAGAAGCTATACAATACTTGAAGTTATTTCTTACCAGCCAATGTAATAGAACATTAAGCATAAAGAAAAGTTTTTCTGGCCCTTTATCTCCCCAATTCATTCTTGAGTTTTATACAAGTCACTTAATTCTACTTTAAGGAGAACCAAACACAGAGAACAATAACACCCGTGTCTCCTTCCCACCATAAGGGTTAACCCAGTAGTGATCCTGGTCATCATTCCCAATGCTGACAGTAAATATCTGGCAATAATCATCATGGAATTTTAGAATTCAAGGGACATTAGAGATAATGCAATCAGGCCTTGATTCTGCCAAAGAGGGCTGAAATCTAGAGAAAATAATTAAAATGCTTATAATTTTACATCTAGTTAATTTAGGAATTGGGACCAGAAAAAAACTAATAAAAATGAAAGAACTTCTAGTTTCTAATCTAGTGCTTTTTTTCATATTTCTTTCTTACTAATAATCACAAGGATCTCAAAACTTATGCATGATTATCTACATATTGGCAACAAATAAGCTCATGCTTTGGAAGTTACAAACGGCTATGAAAAATAGACTTGATAGTTGCTGAAAGTCAACAGAAATATAGTTTAAGAGCATTGTTTTTTGTTTGTTCACTTTGCTTTTTTTAAAAAAAGTTGAATTTGAAAGACTTGAGGCAGGATATTCATTTACTTGTTCTCCACTGGCCCTACCACCACCTAATGTGGCCAATTTATCTTAGCTTCCTGATATGCTGCAGGCACTTTCCCACTCCTGACTGAAAGCACTGCTCTTTTTCCAAACTCCACTTAACCAGCTTAGCATGCATTAACCATTCTGTCTATTCTCTCTGTAAACTGGCACTCAAGGCACGCCGAATACTCGCAGCTAAGGACATTCTCTTATTTCTGCCTCCAAAAGTTAAGTGGTACGTTTACCAAAGGTCAGTCTTATTTTTTCCCCCAAGCTATGTGTGACAATTTTAATTTTTTTGCAATTACATAATTTAAATAAAATTTGTATAAGCTGATGTTTCATGAGCACAAAAAATGTAAAAGAATTGTTCTGTACAAGCTAATGTGAGGACCTTGGAAACATCCAACACAGGTGAGTTGCCAAATTTAAATTGGATGTGGGTGAGGCAAATTTAAAAGACTGGAAAAATATAAGCATCGAGAAGCATTCTATTTTCAGACAGCTTTGTAAATGTCTTACGAGTCTAATTCCCTTGTAAACAAAACTAAAACTAGAATTCATGGAGGATTTGCTGTGGGCCAGAAAGACTCTGTGGAACACCATCAGTTGATCCCTGCTGGGAAAAGAGGGCTTGGCGACTGAGGTGCACTTGTATATTTTAAGTTATAATAACTTATTATGATAGTAGTGTGTTATTCTTCATGAGTCCCAGTTTTAACCAATTTTTTGATCAACTGACTACTTGTAGGTCTCTTATGTGATGATAAGAAAGCATTTGTGTATTAGACACCAATATATCATTCCTTTAAAAATCAATATAAGTGATTTCATATATGTAAGTTTGAGGGTATAAGTATGTATGTTTTCAGCATATTATAAAATATTATTTATCATATATACTTAGATATAAGGATAATAATTTTCATAATGGTTTAGTACTTACCTAGGACATTTCATCCTAAATATATTGGACCTGGTTAACATTTGATTTTGAATTTAGTTAAGGTAGACTCTGGAATGAAACACATTTTCCGGGTAAGTATTATGAGTTCTAAATCGTATGCCCCAGAGGGCAGAGCATTTTATATAGATAAAAATCACTTGTCAGCCTCAGCCGACAGCCTTCTTTCTGTTTTAAGTAAAACTTTCATGCCTTTGATTGCTCATTTATTTTGACACATTCCAATGCTATAGCATAGACTTGACCAACATAAAAATGTTATACAATTGTAGAATAATTCTTTGGCCATTTTTAATGTGATATTTTCAAGGTCTGTAAAAACTATTTCTGCACAGTTGACCATGACTGGTAATGCTCACACCCTAGTCCTTGAACCTGACTTTAAAAATCCAAGTGTATTAAAAACCTGTCACCACAAATGGCAAAAGGCTCATAAAACTTGGTTTACTTCCAAAAGTAAGTTTATCCTCTAACGTTGGGTTATTTTGGAACTGTGGATTGTTTAAATTTCCGCTTAAACAATCCAAGAGTTTATGATCTCCACTGACGTACTGAAATCCACCCAAGAATCCAGGACATCTTTTGGTTAAGTTAAACAGAAAGCAACAGCTGCTTCTTGAGCAGTAAGAAACTCCTTAAAAAGAGGAGGAACTGGTGGGGGAGAAGAGGAGGAAGAATAAAGTAACCAAACAATGGAAACAAAAACTGTGTTTGCTTCTAGCTGAGAGGATGCTGTCAGCCAGTTAGGTACTCTAACTTCCGTGGTCTTTAATTGTAAATCTTTTGGTTCCCAGAAATTATATGTGGTTTATACTAGTCTTCCCCCAGGAAAACAAAAGTATAAAACAACTTAAGTAAAATTTTAAGCCCTCTTGTTGTCAAATTTCCTTAATATAAAAGGTTAAAATAAAACAATGTAAACAATCCATTAAAAACATCAGAGCAACTGATGTTGGCCATAGTCAGGTCCTATAATCCTCAAACTCTTAATTGTCAGTATCAGTTATTTTTCATTTTCATATCTCTCCTTTTATACAGTTAGGTATCCTTCTTAATTCTACCGTTAAAATATTTGGTCCTCACTGTGAGATAAGTACCAGGTAGGATCCTGGAGATATGAAAATAAGAAACACCTGGATTTGAGCCTCTAAGGCTTAGCATCCTACTTTCTCAATAGGATGTGAATTCTTTGAAAGCAAGCACCTCTTTCTTTCCTCGGAATCTTAGAAGCAGAGAATTTTAGAGTCAAAAGGAACCCTAAAAGATACCATCGGGCTTCCCTGGTGGCGCAGTGGTTGAGAGTCCGCCTGCCGATGCAGGGGACACGGGTTCGTGCCCCGGTCCGGGCAGATCCCACATGCCGCGGAGCAGCTGAGCCTGCGCGTCCGGAGCCTGTGCTCCGCAACGGGAGAGGCCGCGACAGCGAGAGGCCCGCGTACCGCAAAAAAGATATCATCTACACCAACCCCCATACACCAAGCTCTCCCGGTATGAGCCCCTCCTACCCACCATGAGTCAAGGTGATGAAACGATCAGTTATTTACCTCCTTCCTCCTCAGACTCTGTCAAAATGACACCCGTAAACAAGTATAGCACACTAACTACAGGCCAAGCGCTACTGTATAAATTTTACATATATCAACATATTTAAGCCTCATTACGGCCCTAATGAGGCAGGTACTATTATTATCCCCATCTTACCAGAGAGGAAACAGAGACACAGGAAGACTGTAATCTCTCAATGGGTCACTAGAAGAGCCGAGACTGCACTTGGGCCGTCTTGCTTCCGAGACTGTTCTTAATCACTATGCTACTCTGCTTCCATCCATACAAAGAAAACATATTTTAAAAGTTTACAAAGGAGGGAAGGAAGACAGCTCTATTTTTCACCCTATATTTTAAACCACTGATATTACTTAGCCTTACTGTCTTCACCTTATTTCCTGAACTTTAACCTGATAACTTAGGCCTTTTCCAAAAATTTTTAAAAGAACGTGCCATGAATTCTAGAAGTAATTTCAGAAGAGAGATGTCAGTACTTAATTCACAGTAGCTTTGTTGGCAGAGAGCAGTCATATTACGGTCACACTTCTTATCAAGGATGATAGGGTACAAAGGTTCAGTGGCTCATGGACCACATAGTGAGCATATCTGGGAGAAATAATGGCTTCTCGGATGACCCTGCAGGGTAGAGACCAACATCATAGACATGAGAGAAAGATCTGTTGACTTTTACCTAGAAGTTAATAGAAATAAGAGTAGAGCAGGCAGACACCATGATCAGCAGTACAAACTAGACTAGTTTATATTGCAAGCACTTCAGGATAAATTGAGAAATTCACCTTGAATGGTCAAAGGTTAAGAGGGGTCAGGTACCCTATCTTTCCTTTATCTTTCTACTATTTGATATTCAGATACTATTCGTTTTAACGAAAGTTCACCCTGTTCTATGTCTGACTTGGTTGTCCCATTTGGGATCTGCCTCAAACATTTTGAATGTTTAGCAAAGCAAAAATGCTTGAATTACACATTTTACAAGAGATGAATGAACCTCAATCAAGCTGCAGTAGGATGTGATGTGCTGCTATAGATGTGGGGGTTCTGACCACAGTGTCTCCTGGTTTGGTGTAGCAGGTGCTTTGCTCCTGCCTGTTTCATGTCTCCACACTAGCCAATTAAGTTTCAGGAAGTCCATTACCTCCCTTCCAAGCTGATTCTGTGAAAAATTAAAGGAGCAAGAACTTCAGTAGAATTCTTTATCTTATGGTTTAACGTCACCCTGACTTACAGTTCGTAGAGATAAAGTGCAGAGAGGCACACACATGTTTACTAAGTCTTATGAGACTCCTAAAGTGGTTCATTTTCTCTATGACTAAAAAAAAAGTGAGGCACTGACATTGAGAAAGCCCCTGGGTCTTCAATGTTGGCTTGATTTGTTTGCTTCCACTTGAAAGAGAAGCCCTTTAATTGCTGAGTGTCTTTTTCTGATTGTCTTCTTTGTTTCTCTTCTCATGGAAAAACACCCCCCATCAGGGGAAATGTATAAACTATTGGAAATTATGATTATTCCTGTGATATTGACTTTTCTGATTATCATTAGTTGATATTTCGACTTCCTGTGTAGAAGAATAACAAGTGTAAAATTCCAGCCTATGAAAAGGCTATTTAGAAGGAAATACAATGTTCGGTAAAGTACACCTTTGAGACAATACCTATTTCAGCTGTTTCTAGTGCCTCGGAGGTATTATCTGTGAATTTTAAACTATAACATTTGGTTTGTTGGTTTGTTTGTTGTTTTTATGTTTTCATTGTGGTATAAACCATAACATTGTAAGTTTGGAAATTTCCCTCTCCACATGCTGTTTTCGGGGATTTTTTACCACCAGAGTTCAAGTAATACAATGCCCTTGCCTAAGAAATATGTTTTTATGAGGTTTCATTTATAATGTAAACATTTCATATATTACTTTTTAAATATTTTAACATTAGATCTCATCTTATTTCAAACTTGAAATTTCACCTGTATAACGTTCAATTGTGGAACAACAATAGAAAGTCATGGACTAGGGGTCAAATGGCTTGACATCTAATCCTAGATGAGGCATTAGTTAGTCAAATCATTTGTCCTCTATGGGCTTCTGTTTCCTCTCTTGTAAAATGATGATGTCATAATTCTAAGTATTCTCCAAGGTCTCAAATTCTATGATTCTCTAATACTCCAGGACTCCATGTGTCATTTCAGCTCTGCTAGGAAATTAATATTTTTTTAAAACTAATTTTAGGAATAATGAAACCATTGAAGATATTTTTTAAAATTTACTGCAATTTTATTTTATAAATGAATTATTTTAAAAACCTCATCTTCCAGAAATTACAGAGTGCACACTTAATTGCAAGTCATGCTTTGTCAGGTAGCACCTCACTTGCATGCCTTTTCAAAGCATCTGCAGAATTTTATGGTATTTCCAGAGTGCCACATGAAGAAACTGGGCAATTTTGCAATTTTATATAGCTAAAAGATAGTTGTACTAGTTGGTGGTCTAATTCCTACAACAGTCCTGAAAGGCATTTGCTTTCATCTAGCAACTGGCTACCATGGTGGTAATGGATGACTTTTAAACAGCTGTCACAAGCTGAAAAAAAACAAAATAAAAAAGCCACCCTCCTACACTATGTAAAGACAGCCTGCCAATAGCTAAAACAAATCCTTCTTGGAGCAATTTAACAAACAAACTTTTTCTTGTTGTTGGTACTATTAAATAGAAACTCATAAAACTCAAACTGGCTTCATGTTTCCCACACACTTGAACAGCCTAACTTTTCTTATGGGATCACAGCAATTAGTGGTTTCCAGATGCATTTCAAATGTGTTAAGTGCCTGCAGGAATTGGCTTTTAAAACATACGCATGTCTTCAAATGCTTCAATCTCAAGAATCTACTATAATCCCCATGAGGGACTATGATGTCTGTGTAATGTTTGACCACAGTTCGGTGCTTAAGTTGCAATTAATATTAAATAGGAAAAAAAATTGGGAAATGAAAAAAATTCTGTCTTACACACCTTTTAAAATTTCCTCCTTTTTTAATGATCACATTACCAGTTCCCTTGTTATCCTGAAAATCATGGAAATAATCACTAACTTCTATTGGAGAAAAAGCTGGAATAAATGAGATTCTGAGAAGAAAGCTCTTGGTGTCACTGGGTTGTTAGGCACTCCTGGAAAACTCATTCCTGGACTGTGGCTAATTGAACTACAAACATGTCAGTCTGACAGCATTAACAGTTTATGACTCGTGCGTTGGAATGTCCAGCTTTCTTCACTTGCTCCTGGACAATTTCTCCCTGTCATGAGACTCTTCCTTAACTGGAAGACTGGGTCCTTATGTTTACACCCAGTATTTTACCTTTGATTGAAACTAGACAGAAGGCAAGTTCTCGGTCTGTCTTCTCGTAACTGTCAGTGCTGAAAACAAGACATGAGAATAAAAACATGGCTTTTGGGAAAAATGCATTTAACAAGTGGTTTCTCCTCCATTGACTGATGTAGTTATCTTCCCTTGAGATACGGCCAAGTCTCATGTCCTTTATATTTTTTTCCTTTTAGTTTCCATGTGGACGACTCTTAAATAAAAATGAGAAACACGAAGAGAAATTAGTCATGCTCACCAATCAGTCAGAAGATTCTGAAAGGTAATTACAGACACATTATTTAGAGGATACATGCCTCTAATAGTAATATTCTAGTAGGAGCACTTCAGTTTCCAGACAAAGGTTTTCAGTCTATTAAGAGCAGACGAGAACTTATCTGGATACAACCATAAAGAGTTGATAAGAAAGATATGGTGGATAACAGTGTGGACTATTTGAACACATTTTTTTTCGCTGCTCTTCAAGGGGCAAGAATCATAGCAAGTTACGGAAGTTATTTGATTTTTTTTTAAGTATTTGATAAATTTCCCTTGACAAGTTTGGATCTTCAGATAATTTCTCCTCAATAGCACACATGTTCACCTAGGAAACAACTCTATATCTTTTTTTTTTTTAATTTATTTTTTGGATGTGTTTGGGTCTTCGTTGCTGCGCGCGGACTTTCTCTAGTTGTGGTGAGAAGGGTCTACTCTTCTTTGCGGTGCACAGGTTTCTCATTGCGGTGGCTTCTCTTGTTGTGGAGCACGGGCTCTAGGCGTGCAGTCTCAGTAGTTGTGGCACACTGGCTTAGTTGCTCCGCGGCATGTGGGATCTTCCCAGACCAGGGCTCGAACCTGTGTCCCCTACGTTGGCAGGCAGATTCTTAACCACTGTGCCACCAAGGAAGTCCCAACTCTATTTCATTAATAGGGTGAAGAGTAGCTATATCTTCTCTCCTGAGTTCTTAAATCCTCAGCTCAGGTATAGGATGAGAAATTTACTAAGTCCCTTAACAAAAAATCCCTTCTTCAGTCACTTTCTACATTCTATCGACCATTTATGGCTTTTCTCAAGCTTCACTCTGTTCATTGATCCATGTAGTTATTTCTTTGACTTCTTATTCGGAACCTTTTTTTTTGTGCAAGATATTGGGCCAGCTGCTTCTAGATGATGAATCAGATCCTGTCCTTTTCCTCTAGCTGCTTGCAGTTTAGAAGTGAAAAGCCACACACACACCTAAGTATAATAAATGTTGAATGTTTCGTCTCATCAAGGAGGCAGATAATCTGCCCTGAGACATCAGAGGAGGTGAGAATCCTAGTTGTGAGCACAAAGAGAGGCGTGAAGATGGATTTGTTTGACCTAGTTTCTGGCAAAAAGAAAATAGGGGGACAGATGGAAAAAAAGAAAAAGGAAAGCGTATTCCAGGCTGAAGGCAGAATGTATACAAAAAAGTTGTAGGTAAGTTGAGGACTTGTGTTGGTTCCAGTGAGCTTTTCGGTTTGACTTCCACATCTGGCATGTAATATAAAACTCATCTTGAGTGAGAGACTAAATAGTTGAGGACTTATTGTACACGCCAATGTTTCTCTGTGTATAAAGACAAAACTTCTTTCAAGTGAAAGATAATTTAAAGAAATACTTACCCTCAGGTTCTCAAGTCGGTGTTACTCAAACTTGGGTTCTCATAACCTGTGGATCTGGAGACATATTCTCAGGGTTCTTGGTCTGTGAAAAACTTTTCATTAAAAGAAGCCCATAGGTACTTCCACTGTGAGAATCACGACTGTGCACAAGGGAAGCCAATAAGAATTCTGAACAAGGATTGACAATAGGCTAACCTGGCCACAGTGTCTGAAATTGGCAAGGGGGGGAGGTGACTAGAAGCTTGAATAAATACAGAATTGCTGATTTATCCCATTCCTCTCAACCGGTTACATTCAGTATCAATAACAAGTATTTTAGCCTTTAATTGTATAAATTTAGCCTTTAATTGTATAAATTGTATAAATTTATACAATTTATAAATTGTATAAACTTAGCATTTTATTATGCATCACAGTTTATTATTCTATAATTGTGCTGTATGTATAAGTCTTGTCTCCTTGATGAGATTTTATCTACCTCAAGGGAAAGAACTCAGCATACAACGGCATAACCCACTTTAGCAGTAGGCCTATAATAAGCATTGATCAATTTCATATAAATTATTATAAAATGTGTAAGCAAAATAGAAATTCAGCTCACAGGAGTAGTTTGAGGATTAACCAGTTATACTGACAACCTCTAAGATACTATAGATATTATAGAAGCATAGAAGACAACATATGATGTTGAACGATTTCTAGGAAAGATGATACCCCATATTTGCCAGTAAAAAAAAAAAAAAAAAGAATGAAAGAGAGGAAAGGAAAGAGAAGAAGGGAGGAAAGAAGGAAGGAAGAAAAGCAGGCAAACAAACTATTGTTTCTGTGTTTTGAAGTTATGTATAGTCTAGCTTTTCCTTCAGTATAACCACAATGCAAAGAAGTAGGGATTACCTCCCCATCCCATCCCACCCCACACACCATTTTCTTCCAGGTGGAGAATTATAAGGAGTCTGTAAGCTCCTGAGTCCCATTCTATTGCCCCCTCTCCTAAGCAACCCAAATTAATGTTTAGATTCTCTCCATTTACCCATGATGAAAATTACCCAGAATTTAGTAGTTAACATATTTCTTTCTACAGTAGTAAAACTTTTGTATTTCTAAGAGAATGAGAGAGGTAGGTCCTTTGACAGTAATTTAAAATGCTCAGGAGATGGTTTTCAGGTTAACCTTTTTGGTGTATATGACTTGGAGTCCAGAGGAAGGATGGTGGATGAGGCAGATGCTGCAGTTCATATATCCTCCTCTCAAGGGAGGTGAGAAAGAGAGAAGAAAGCAGGGAGATGAGAGGCCACAGAGTAGGAACTGAATAGTGAGTGCTGGTCATCTTTCCCTCTTCCTCTCCTGAACTGACCCCTTTCTACTTGAACCATTTTAGGTCCTGCAGGGTAAAATTTGCCACTTCTTGAAGGTGATACACTGATATCACGGTTGTCATACCAAACTTCTTTCTAAAGTAAAGGGGCAGAGGAAACAACTTTGATCCCAGTGAGAGACTATGAAAGTAAAAACAGTACTTTATGGTTTTTATATTTCCTGTTAACAAAATCTCCAAGCATATTGTTTAAAAAGCAGCCCCACTCAATATATCATGATCCTGGGGTCTTCCTTGCTTTGATGTACTCTTATAAGACCAGCTCCTCATTTAAATTTTCCTAAAGCAGAATTTTTTCCCTGTCCTAACATCTATTTTAAGAAATTTATTTTTAATAAATTATGTGTTCAGAAAATTATAATTATTACCTAGCAAGGAAAACTATTATGATTCATTATAGCCTCAAGTAGAGGTAATCACAGTAGAATAAAATGAATGTTAAATTCCCATGACGTGCCTCCTTTACCTGGCATTAAACTCACTCACATTAGCACTTGTTCAACCTACGTATTGAACGTGGTCAAATACAATCTCTGTTATTCATTGCTTTCTGGGAACAATACACTGGTTTCAGATGCCCTTAAGGAGCTCTTGTGTCTTTCCCCACATTCAAAGTGTTTAAATGTCTTGATGCAAAACACTGGTGGACTTTAAGAAAATTAAACAACAGGTTTTTGTTTTTTGGTTTTTCTTCCCATACATGAAGAGTACACTACCCTCCACATGCAGTATTTGGCAGCCAAAGAGCTACTGGCTATTAAACATCCCTTAAAGCTTCATTTTTTGCTCATGAAGGAACAGTGTAGGGACGTTTATGGGGTGATAGGCATATGTTTTGGTTGGAGCAAGACTGTGTGGTAAGCGAAAGCTAAAATGATCATTTTTATGACATCGTAAGCATTTTTACAATTCTTTTGGCCTCTTCATTTTTAACCTACTTCTTACCTGACCCTAAATTAAACTATTCTGGGAGGGCAAAATAAAGGGCCATTTATACAGTTGCTGTCCACATGGTGAAGAGAGAAGTGAACGGTGTCATCTACTGGCATACGTATTTTCTATCCATTCACATTGTTTTGTCAGATAAAAGAGAAATTAATTTTGAAGTGCTAAGTGTTTTTAACTACTCACAGAACATCACAGATCCTCATCTATATTTTCTCATAAATTTTGTTAATTCTTAGTCATGCTTTAAACAGTTTCAATATTAAACTTATGAGACAAATTTGTCAGTTTTTCAGAAATTATAGTTCTTCAAACTAATAAACATCAAAGTTACATTGGGTTTCTGGACAACAGTCTAATTAAGTCTCTTCTCTTTCCAAAATAAGAAAGTAGCATCTCAAGCATGTGTATATGTATAATATATTACATAACATTAACTTTTATTGGATGGATACATTCACAGAGATATAAGGCAGGGGGCTTTTAGAAAACTTGTGTTTTCAGCCAGACTCCATAAAGCACATTTCAGAAAAGCTTTTTCCATACAAACAACACCCATGGGATGAACATAGATTTTCCATTTTCTAAGGTCCAGCTTAAACAAAATGCCAAAGAAGGTATCTATGGTATATCTTTTGTCTATCTGTTTTTAATACTTTATGCCCACATAAACTCTTTGTTTGATTCAATGCGACAATAACTTGTAAAGTTACTACCATGTGCTAGGAAGTGTTTGGGGAAATACTGTTGGAAAGAATACCAAATTAGAATTCTCCAAAGGAGCTACTTATCAGTTAATCTCGGAAGAACTGGCACTACCTCTCAGCATGAAATTTGTGTATCTGGAGACTTGGATCTGCCAGCTTTTACCTCAATGGAAACATCTTTGGCATTAACTGGGAAGGCACAGAGCTCACTTGGAAGTCTAACTAGGCCCCAGGCAGGCTGCAGACAACATGCAGCCAGCTGAAGGGGTTATAAGTCTGTTCTTTCTGTGTGTGGCAGTTCTTGAGTTGCCCTTTTTTTTGCAGAAGGCTTCAGAGTTTAAGCTAATGACATGTCCTCCAGTGTGGTAATTAAATACACAGACCCTTCTAAGGCAGTACATTTAGTTTCGTGGCTTGAATTTGATGTGGTTCAAGGCCAATTAACATGATGGAAGATATTGCATTAGCAAAATTCCAGTTTTCAGGGCAATTTGGAAATAACAAGTTCACAACTCTCTTTATGCTGCTCTGACAGGAACTTATATCAAAACACTAAGTGAGGAAATAATGCGGAAAAATGAAGGGACTTGAGTTTGGAAAATTCAATTT